ATCCACTTATAATAGTTATATTCCTCAAGCAACCTAACCAAATGCTGCAGAACTGTAAGTCCACCCCTAGCATGTTTTTTCATTTTTGCCTTTTCATTGTATGCGTGTCTTAAATGCACATCATTTGCCAAGTTATGCTCTTTCAAATATATTTTAAAAAAGTATTCGGCGGCACATGAATTTTTGCTAACATTCGAGTAATGTCCACCTCGTCTTGATTATGCCCCCACAAATATACGAGATCATGACTATGCTTCCCATATAATAGTTTAAGTTCACATCTATTCTAGTAGTGTTCGACTCCGACCAAGTAAGATTTACAATGACATTTTTTGTGCCATGCCATTTCTTATTTTCAACATCTATGTTCGTTGAAGTTTCCCGCTTCCCCTACCAAATAGATCACATGTAAGATATATTATATTCTTAGGACTACTACGCTTCACCAATTTCACACCAAGACTCTTGGCGGATGCTCTGGCCCAATCTATCAACTCGTTCTGAGTTAAATAGTTATGTTACTATAAAATACTCACTATGATCTACTTTAAATGTAGATGAATTTTGTTGCTCTTCCTGAAAAAAAATATGAAAAAAAATATGAAATAAAATATAGTTAAAATAGTATAATAATAAATAATATATAAATAAATAAATAAACCGGACAGAGGTGGTCGGCGCCGAAACCGGGGACCCAAAACCAGTTTACACGCCCAAAATGGTTTCGGAAAGACAGTTTGCGGGCCCAAATTGAGCGTAGATCGAATTTGTACGGGCCCATTTTGGGCGTGAAAATTGTTTTTCCGTACCCGTGTTGGTCGTGAGCCACCTTTTCCATGTTTATAAAACGAAAACGAACAAATTTGACCTCATTGTATTGTGTGTCTCGATCCTCATCCGACACACTCATTTTCCTTTGTAAATGACTTCAACAAGATGGGTTTCGGGACGGTTTCTAATCTTAAAGTTTGAGAGGTTTTTTTCTAAAGGGATGAAGAGAGAATAGAGATTGAATTATTACAAACCGTATTCGTAAAAATGAAACCGTGTTTCTCAAGTTCCTTGAGAGAAAATAAAAGCGAGAGGAGGTGAAAATAGGAGATAACAACTCTTGATTGTAAATCTTGTCTTTATATAATTATATAGATATCAAATTTAATAATTTTAATAGATTTAGTGTAATCAACTGAACCCTTTCTCACTAACTAACTATTACCCATAAGCCAAGTTCAAATTCCTTAACAATGCACGTAGGGTTAGCCTAGTATGATTACCCAATGCTTGTATATGGTTGGTTGCAGGTTCCTTCATTAAAAAAAAAATATATATTTATCAAAGTTGTAAAAAGCGGTAATCAGGTCGGAGGCGGTCAGGGACCGACCCACGATTAATCGGTGCGGCGGTGATTAATCGGTGATAAACCGGAAATAAATCGATTTTTAAAATTTAATATAATATATTTCTAGATATTATTTATAAATACTCAAAACATATATAAAAAGATATTTAAACATAGTTATATCTCCATCATGTATAAAAACTTAATAAAATAATAAAAGTTAAATAATAATAAGATCATAATACATAAATATCGTTATAAAATATACATAAATAAGCAATTTTTTTGAATTTACATTTATTCTTGAACATTCCTAACATACATCATTAGTTCTTTAACAATAACCGTTAATATAAACAAAATAAAACATAAGCCCATATTTTGTTTATTAAAATCCCAACTTTTATTTTGAATTATTAAAAAAAAAAACGATTTTGACCGATTTTTGGCCGATTTTTGCAACCGAAGTTTGACCCGCCATAAAGATTCGACCGCCTCGGACCGCCTAAAACCGCCTCATAGGCAAAAAACCGATTTTTCAAACCTTTACATTAAAATTGTAAAGGTTTTTGACCGCCTCGGAGACCGATTAATCGGCCGTCTCGGCTGATTTTTAGAACACTGATATATATTACGCTTAAGAAATTAATAAAACCCAATCTAGTACATAATTGTATTATATTCGATTTATGTAACCGAATAAGACCTAAATGTGATTACTCAATTACATCCTTAAAGTGAAAATAATTAGTACCGTGCAATGCACCGGATAACATTTCAAATGTGAAAAAAATAATTATTCAAATACATGTCAAAAACAATTATAATAAAATAATACATTACATTTATTATAATAAAATTTATTAGTGATATTTAACTTATAGTATTCATACAAATCTGACAATACAAACCAACCTTGTAAAAGACTATATAAACTTAATTGTAATAAAATGAAATTGATTGTTAAAGAAATGAAGCAATTAACAAAACCAGAAGTTAAAGCAAAAAACAAAAATAAATAAATGTGTAAATATAATTAGAGATGCATGGTTGGAAAATTATAGCTGATGTTGAAAGGACTCTACGCGATTTGGTTTGAATTTGATTTTTTTTATAATTAGAAATTGGTAGACAAAGAAATAATTGAAATAATTACAAAAATTCCTAGGCTACTATAGCGTTTCTTTCTTTTATATATAAGATAATATATAACATATTAGATCAGATCATAATTATATAATATTAATATATAATTACCCCATTAACTAAAATGCTAAAATCCGAAGTTGAATAATTCTTTCTTTTAAGATTTTCTCTCTCTAAAATCTTATCTTTTCCTTTCCCACCCTTCTTCTTTTTCCCTAACTTTTTTTTTTTCGCAAAATCACACACAAAAAAGGTCCTTAACATTCCATGTTTATATTTGAGAAAACTCTTCACATGTCTCTAAAATAAAGTTGGAATGTGAAGAATTTTTTTGAATTGATATGAATTTGTGATGTATTCATATTTTTTCCAAAAAAGAAAAAAACCTTTCTTTTTTATGTTTAATGGTTGCCGCCTCGTCGGTGGAATGATTGAGGGTGGGGTGTGAACAGCATCCGATGTAGTCGCAGTGATGTTGTGTGGCCGTCTGCGGTTGTCGCATGTGAAGCAGAAATGTGTGAATGAAGGAGGCTGAGTTGGGGTGGGTGGTGGAGTAGTAAATTAGGCTTTAGATATATTCTAAGGGTAATAAGCCTCATACCCCTCAAACCAAACCTAATTAGATATGAATGACAACCTCAAATAAAACATTTTAACTACATCCTTATTTCAAAAATACCAATTGATACACATCCTTTGTAATTCATTTAACCCCAAAATACCCTTACAATACCTAATAAAAGTCACTCTTTCTCTTTTTCCCCCTCCCCTCTATCTCACGCCGCCCAACACCCCCCTTCTAACTTTCTCCTTTTCTCCCCCACCCACTTCCTCTCTCTCTCTCTCTCTCTCTCTCTCTCTCCTCTCTCTCTCATATGCCGTCCCCAACCGCCCCCCACCCCCCCCCCCCATCCTTTTTCTTTTTCTTTTTTTTTTCCCTTATAAATGATTAAATTCAATTATAGTGGAATAGTTATGGATGCTATGACGGTGGTTATGGTAGATGTCGACGGCTATGGTAGCGGTGGTTATGGTAGGTGGCGACGACTATGGTGGCGATGACATGGGTTGTGCGGTGGGGGTTGTGGTTATGGTTGGGATGTTATTGAAAGCATATTTTGAATAATTAATTGCATCTGATTTACTTATCTTTTAAGAGATTTTGCTTAGTTTGGGTTCAAATGGCAGATCTAGGTTTTCTCAAATGTTGGTAGGGGACAACGGTCGCGGCGACTGTGAGCATTGGCTGCTAGGGTTTGCGTCGGCTGCTAGGGTTGGCGACGCCTGGGAGTTGTTGGGGCTAGGGTTTAGTAGTAAAACATAGTACACTGTAGTACACTATAGTACACCGTAGTATAAGTACATCGCAGTATGCTATAGTACACCGTAGTACACTATAGTCTACTACAAATCGAAAATATGTAAATTGAAAAAAATAAAAATAAAATAAAAGTTTTTTTTTCCGCAATTTTCAGTATTATGTAGGATAAAAAAAGTTTTTATAGTAGTGTATAAAATGCTAAAATGAATAATGAAAAAAAAAAAGGAAGATAAGCTGATATTCTGTAAAAAAAAAAAAAAGATTTTTTTTTTTAAATGGAGATATGAAATATTAATTGCATAATAAATGTAGTTTGAAATTTACTTATTGCATATTTAAAATTTGTGAATGGAGGGGCATTTTTGGAATGGATTTTATAAAGGATGTGAAGCAAATATTTACATGAGCTTGTCAATTAGTTCTAATAAGTTTTGTCACTAGGGACCTATATCCTAAGGCCCCTATATTTTTTCTAATTCATTTGTTTGTTAATCTTTTAATTATGTTTGTCAAATGTTTAATTAATGAAAATTATCATTTAGTAGATGTTAATTAATGTGTTAAAGAATATTGAATAATTAAAAATGCTTAATGAAATTGAATAAATATTTAATAAACCTGAATTCAATTTTATGATAAAAAATTAATGAATTTTGAATGACTTGGATAAAATCCTAGAGAGAATATGAGTAGAGAGAGAATAGTTTTTTTTTTTTTTTTTTAATTTACGGTAAATTACAACCACCCATGAGGTATTGTCAAATTACGAAAATCCTCATGTTTGGGTAATTACAATCACCCTCAACTATAAATCTTCTTACACGTCCACCCTTGTGATTTCAAATTTAGTGGAATCTTTGAGATTATATGGAATATTGTCACTTTTGTACCCGTTTATCCCATTCGAACTCCATATTTTGCAGCAAGATGATCATAATATGTATTTTTTGACTTGTATATATCAGATTGTGATGCATCAGAAACTGTATTTTTACAAAAAAATGAGTAAAAACTAGAGCACATTCTATGAAATCTAGATGATTATGTTGAATTTGACACCATAAAGGTGGAGGTGCCAGAAAATTATTCATACAATAGAGGTTTTTTCGTAAATTGACCATAATTTACCCTTTAATTTATGTGCGGGATTTCGCACGCCCCTTTTATTAAATAATAGTATTTAATTGCATAATTCAAATTTTCCTATAATAGGGCCCAACATCATTTCTTCCTATGAGGGCCGGGCCTTATAACTTTCCCATCTTCCCAAAACTACTTTGTCCAAAATATTTAATAACCGCTTCCTCTTCTTTAACTGTGGAGGCAGCAAATCGGAAATTTCTCTGCGCAAGTAGGGCATATAAAAATCTAATTCTCAAGTAATTTCTCAGAGGGTAATAGTTTTTTAAATATTTATGATTCAGAGTTCATTATTATTACTGTTATGAATATCCCTTTTTTTTCTTTATGCAATTGCCTCAAATTAGGGCAAGTTTTTCTAAGATTTTGATATCTTTAGTTTTTTTATGCTATAATTTTTTTTTGTTTTTTGTTTTTTGGGATTCCCTTGGTTTTAATTAATTGATTAATGGGTTAATTCTTGTCCTTAATTTGGAAGTTCTTTACATATAAGTCTTGGAATAGGAGTAATATTTGTGTCGGTTTTTTTTGCTGTAGCAGTCAAATCATGTACGAAAGTATTGGGGAAAAGATATTTTGAACGAAGAATTTATTGTTGCGCTAATGTCTTGGGTATAATTGTTGTGTTTCTATCCACCATAAAGATCGTATATCTAAACGACGATCTTTTTATTTGGATCGAAGGATTCGGATTTGAGGATCCTTTTGGGGGAATGGGTTTCAAACGACTCCAAATGAGATGGATTTGAGATCCACCGCAATGACTTGAAATTCATTAAGCTCAATGAATTTGTTATTATGGATTTGAAACCCGTCTCTCAAATCCTTTCGTCCCAATGTAATTAGGAAGGCGAGATCTATTTATAAGACAAATCATTGTGGTTGCTTTTGTCTTGAACTTGTACTTTGAGTGCGACCGACGGCATTCGGATCAACTTGTAGATATTTTCAGATTTTGCGTGTTATTCTTGAGTCGGTATTTCTGTTATAATATGAGTTCTCAGTTGTTAGACATATGGTATTGTGGTAATATCATTCGTATCTGTTGGAGCAGAGCGTATCGTGCGTGCTACTGCTACTTCATACTCACTTCTCGTTGTAGTTCAGTTAATCCAACATTATCACTGTTGGACTTAATTGGATTACTGGCTCGATTTTAGTTTTCTCTACAATAGCAAGTCTGTAGATCTTTATTCTGGTTGGTACGTATAACGGTGAAATAATAGTATGTTTGTAATTGCTAACTTGTGGTGAAATTCTGTGTATATTCATTCTCCTATTACTGACAGACGAGTGAAATCCGATCACTAAGTCTTACTTTAGCTTCTCTTAATTTTCTTGAAAAAAAAAAAGAATTACTAAGCTCACCACTTTGCCCCGTGACGATTTGTGCAGAATTTCAATTGAATTTGTTGTAGCTTTCTGCTGCAATTAACACACTTGTTACATATGAAGCTGTCAAAACCGGTGAACGTCAAGCGCGATAAAAGTCGAAGAACGAAAGATTGGTTCGCCTCCATCACCGATGATCGGGCCAAATTAGTGATTCCAATTGGACCTCGTTTCCAGGCTGATTTACCACCTTGTACTCCTCGATTTTCCAAGACCGACTCAACTATTGTTGAGAGTGAGTCGGATACAACAAAGTGGTTAGGCACCACATCATGGCCAATGGGAAAACATGAAGATATGAAAGACGACACGGTCGGTAAGGGGAGATCCGAGATTTGTGAGTGTGTATCCCCCGGATCAATAGAATGTGTTAGGCAACACGTATCCGAAAAAAAATTGCAACTTCAAATTGAATTGGGCCCCACCTTTTGGAAATGGAAATTTGATGTCATGGGAGAGGATGTTTCTAAATTATGGAATCTAGAGGAACAAAAGAAATTTGAATATATTGTGAAAGTGAATGCAACATCACAAGGTGGAAACTTCGTGAAGTCCGCCTTAGAATGTTTTCCAATCCAAAGCAAAGAGAGCATAGTGAGCTATTACCTAAATGTGTATATCCCAAGGCGAATTAGTGTCCGAACTAGGTCGGGTTGTAAAATTGTCGACACGGATGATGAAACCGAGGACATGCCATGTCGCAAGGGGTCCCGTAAAAGATTTCAAGCCAATAGTTTCGCTTCAAGCAATTCCAAGTACACAAAGACGACGTACTTGAGAACCCACCCATGACTTCGCTAGCTCTTCGCTAGTTTTCAGGTAAAATTAAGATTGTTGGTTTTTTTTTTTGGGTTAATATGTTGAACTAATTTTATGAAAGAAATGTTAAGTTGGGAGTGTGAACTTGGAAAGTAAATTGCATGAAGAAATTTCGGAGAGGATATATATAGGGGTTGATTGTCGGACAATCGATTGCTCTATATCGTCCTCTACCAATTTTCAATGGAAGTTCTTATACCAAACGGTTCGGTAGATTATCGTACCGTATTGAAGTTTTTTTATAGGACAATGGTACCTAATATCATTACCATGATATTGTCCTCCCGTACCAAAATATTATTAATTAATATTTTTCTTTGTTATATTTATATTTTTTATGATTAATTGGGCAAAGGTCACTTTGCACCTTTGAATTATGGGTGTGTGCCGCTAACACACCCATCAATTACGAAACGTACCAAATACCTCCTCATCGTAGTATTCCATTTGAATATGCTGACATTACTTATTGACTTTCTTGTTGCCTTTTTCTTTTTGACCTGTTTACCCCTATTGTGTCAGAGTTCAAAGCTTATATGTGCCTTATCATTTTACCTTTATTTTTCCTCATTTTTTCATTTGAAATTAGTTCATTTTTCCTCATTTTTTGCTTAACTCCACTACAAAGTCGAGCTCTAGTTGTTATCATGAGCTCAATTTAATATCGCAATCCCAACCAAATCAAATTAGCATCTCGATACTTAATTTCTTTAATCAAATCAAATATCTCAAAATAGGAGATTAAATCAAGGTTGGCATCTCATTCAATGTAAGTCAAACCCCCAATATATTCAAACTTCGTAAACAAGTCTCCGTAAATGATTTTAATTATAATAAATGACATGCCATTATACTCTATAAAAAAATATGACCAACTCAATAAAATATTAAAATAAGCTAAACAATTGCTTAAATAGTCATCCAAGTACTGTTTGCACGATGAGTTATATTGGGAAAAAAATGAAGGAGATAGTGACTTTGTATTTTTTATTTTGGCTGAAATATGTCAAAGTACTAAAGTACAAATATATCTTCCATATACTAAAGGTGGGGGTAAGATGTAATTCCACAAGAAAACATTACAAATCTAATGTCTTTTCATTTTTGTAAACTTGACCAGAAAATAGAGGGGGTATTTGGTATGTTAGTAATTAAGGAGTGTGTATGCAACACAACCCATAATTTAGGGGTGCAAAGTAAACTTTTCTCTAATTAGTTTGTAGATTTCGTGTTATGTGAATATTTTAAATAAGTAAGAGTGCCACGTGAAGACATATTTATACCTTAAAGAATAGACAATCGAGAGGTCAAACTCTTCTTCCTCCACTTCTCGGTAAAGTCAAGGCGGACTCTATCTTCACTCTCATTCCCTTTTTTGGCGGTTGCTAGGTCGTTATTTAGTTTATATGTTTAGGCCTTAAGAGAGAAGCACAAGGAGAAACGAAACTAAGGCACATTGAAGTCGTCCAAGGGAGCATTTGCGTGTAATTGTTTGAACTTTTGGAGGAAGGATTCAAATCATTGGCTACATAGACGAGAAATCGCTCTTCCCTCCTCGAGGGATTGAAAAACTATTTGCGCTTTGACTTTGTTAAATCAATATATTTAGCGGGTAAATACGCTTTTACTCCCTTACGTGTTTACCACTACAATACTTTTGGTACCTTATGTGCCAAAAACCTCTTTTGGTCCGTTTGTTTTGTCAATTAATTGGCTCGTAGTAGTTAACGGAATTTGGCCAAGAAGGAAGGAAGAAATACACTTTTGGTCCCTCTTATTTACAACTAAAACATTTTTTGTTCCTCTTACTTCAAAAACACATTTCCGGTCCTTTGATGGCGTTGCCTTAATTTGATGGGAATGTGTCATACGTGCCCAAAACGTGACATGTTCCGGTAACTATTGACATTGCATTAACTTAGGAGACCAAATGTGTCAAAAAGTGATAAATCGATGGACCAAAAGTGTTTTTTGGGAACAATTGGGACACGAATTGTTTTATTTGTACACAAAGAGGGACCAAAGTGTATTTTCCCCATATCTTTAGCTTTGGGTAAAGGACTAGCCTAACATTATTTGACAATTAGCATTACCATATCATACCTTACAACATAAATTACACCACCCTTCTTCGAGTTTATGTTTTAAATATAAAAAGAAATCGGATTAGAAAATTGTACAAATACCCATTAATGTTTCCAAGTCAAACTCATAAATAACATTTTTAGGTAAACTACACTTTTCGTCTCTTAAATTTATCTCTTTGCTAGTACCTAACGGAATCAAACATGTGCGCATCACTGTCTTTACTGATGGACTAGCGGCAAATTGATACAAATGACCAAAAATGTTAAGCTGTTGAAACATGATAGACTTGATCTTTTTTTTTTTTGTTTTTTTTTTTTTTTGTGAACAAGGGGATTAAATGAAATCGAGATAAACTTGAGAGAAGAAAAGTGTATATTTCCTTTTACCCTCGGCAAAAACATATTTTCTTTTTCATTTTTCGTTCTCCAAGTTTACATCAATTTCATATTTGGTCCCGCTTGTTGACAAAAAACAGATTTAGTCCCTCATGTTTGAACAATTTAACATTTTTGGACTTTTCAGCCAATTCACCATTAGTCCGTTAGTTAAGACATTGTTGGGCACATGCTTCATTCCCTTAGATAATAAGGGAAAATCGACGGAAAGGACCATAAGTGTTAAAATTTTGAAACACGAGGAACTAAACCTATTTTTTCTGAACAAACATGACCAAATGCGAAATTACGGTAAACTTAAGGGACAAAAAGTGTATTTTTTTCCATTTTCTTACAAACTGCGATAGTAGAGGAGGGGCAAAATTTGAACCTTATAGACATCTATTCTAATAGCAGATACCGGGTATCAACTCTCCTAACGAGGGTTTGTTTTTTACCAATATTTAACCTTATTTGATTGTTTGTGTTGTTGGATATTGGTATGGCTGGCAATTGAGCCATGTGAGCCGAGCTTGGATTGGCTCAAGCTAACATACCATCGGGCCTCATTACTATACGCTCAAGATCACATATCATCGGTTCACAATATTGTAGGCTCAAACTCGGCTCTTTTTTCAGGCTTCGGGTTTATATCGAGCAAAGATACAAGTTATCTACTGTACAACTTTGCAGTCGAACCTGTTAAAAAAAAAACATTTGCAGCCGAATAGCAAAATCCAAATCCAGAATATTCATGAAGTTCAAAATAAAATAAAAACCATAGTCCTGCATAAGAACAAAAACCATAGTTTGTTACTTGAAACAAATGAAGTTTAATATTGCAAATGTTTATTCCTTAACTAATTATATCTATATCTATATCTATCTATACTTATTATATTATATATTATATATTATATTTATAAAAGTATGAATGCATAGGAGGTTTCTTCCCTTTTTGTATGGACCAAAATATCCTTTGCATAGGTAAATTTTTAAGGACAATTTAGTCATATTCATTAATAAATCAATTAATATTAATAGACAAGGGAGACTTGTAAAGTTTATAGTATTTACAATTAGCACACTTGATAGTTGTAGTAAAATCATTCACTATTAACAAATGACCAAACTAATATCATATGACAATAATCATATAAGACGTTCTTCATAGTCAAATTATACTTAATTTCTTTAAAATTTCTACATATATTTTAATATGAAAAAATATCATTTGGGTATTTACAATAATATATAAATTATGATAGAAAAAGATGGAATTAGAATATAAAAAACTACTTCCTTAATAATAAATGTTATGATTAATCACAAGTTGGTAAAATCATTAGTTCATTATTAATTATTAACAACTAACCAAAGTATTATCATATGACAATTATCATAAGACATTCTTCATAGAGTCAAATTATACTTAATTTCTTTAAAAATCTATATATATATTTATTTTTTTAATATAAAAAAATATCATTCGAATAGTTACAATAATACATCAATAATGATAGAAAAAGATGAAATTAAAATATAAAAACTACTTCCTCAATAAAAAGAAATTTTATGATTAATCACAAGTTCTATATTCGTGCAAAGTTGCATGACATCACTCTTCAACGAAAGAGAGGAAGGTATTGATTCTTTGTGAGAGAAAAAAAAAATATGTGTTGCCGGAATTGGAAAAAAAAAGAGGATAGTCGGAGACGGAGAAAAAAAGGGGATCGTCGGAAGTAAAGAAAGAATGCATAATAGCAGATAAAGAGAGAATATTTGAGGAATATTGTGTTAAAAAAAACCCTACGAACTATTGAATCGAAAAGAGAGGTGACAACATAATAGAAACCCTGTTACTATAACTGGTGTAGCATCAGTCACACCCTCTCTTTAAGACTGAAAAACAACTTCTCCAAAATAAAATAATAATAAAAAAAAATACTAATAAGTTATTTGAAGTTTAACAAAAAAAAAAAAAAAAAAAAAAAAAACTCACTTATTCTATAGTGATATTCTTTAGTACAAACGACAGAAGTATTATTATATGAAAATTGTCATAAGATGTTCTCAATCGAGTCTAAGTCATACTTGATTTCTTTAGGAAGCTCTTATAAGTGGAAAGAGACTGAACAACCAATATAGATATTGGTGACATCAACAACAAATGATTATATAATGTGGGATCATGATGGAAAGAATGACAATCATTTAAGTTATAACTTGACCAAGGATTCCATAACAGATTTCACTATCACCACCACCGCTTTCAAACACCAATAGTGTCTAGTAGATCCTAACAACCAACACCCTAACCATATGGTGATTGGGGGTGGCTCCCAATCTTGCAAAAGAAAAGTTCTTACCATTTTTTTGTTATTTTTTTATTTTATTGTGTTAATTTATCTATTTGTCAATTTATCTAATTAGTATTTATACATTCTCGGCCAATAAAAGAAAACTCCAATTTTTAATTCACACCCATATTTTAGCCCATGCCGAAAAGTACCTAGGTCCGCCCCGGACTACCCCTGCGGTGCAAGGGTGTGCACATGAATTTAAATATTTTAATGATGTTAAAAGTCATCTTGGTCATCAATAATGATAACCAACGATGAGTGGGATAATAATCGATCCACTGTCAGTTTATGTTTTTGGGTGCGGAGGTTCATTCAACATAGTATCATCACATTCATGTGTTATAACAATAATATATATTTAGGGTAAATAGCATGAAACTGACTAAACTTTGCCTGTTTTTGTGGATTACCACTTAAAA